AAAGGATGTCAAAGGAGAAAATGTTCCGTCGCTATCCGTATTCGAACCCGGGACTTATTGAATGAGAGGCGGACACCTTAACTTTTAGGCCCCGAGAGCCTCTCCAATTTTTTTTTTTTTATTGTAGCTATACAAGTTAGCAATGCAGTCTGCTATGTGCCACGACGATGTGGAACAAGGTACTGGTTAATTTTTGGGTATGTGAGTCATCGGTACAATCTTAAAACCTGTCCAGTTGCGTTTCTTTTGAAGAAAGAAATAGTCATCTATCTTGAATACAAATAAGTATATTTGGGATTAAAGAGGGTGAAGGGCGCCAGGTGCGAGGTAAAATTAGCAAGAAAATATCCGTCAAAAGGAGATGACTTCTAAAGCTGTAATGTCCTTAGAAACGACACATTTACATTTTTTGTGCTTTTAACTAATGTTTTTCAGCAAAGATTACTTGATCCCAGTGCTTTCTTGTCGTATCTCCATTTTTTTAAACAGTGAAAAGTGTGACTTTTCTTGGGCCCACTCTTTGTTAAGAACTCTTTTCACTGTTATCAAAAATGGAGATACGACAAGAAAGCACTGAGGTCACGATTAGTTGTCAGACTACTGTAGTGTAGTGTAATTAGGCGCTTCGTCGGCGTTCACTTTTGATCCCCGTTCGATTATCGTGTGTGAAGAATTTTTAATGAGCATCTACGCCTTTCTGTTGGGACGTTGCATCCCTCTCACCCGGAGTCAACCAGGTAAAGCAGAGTTGAAGCCCGCCTCCTAAATGTTATAGATTGTGTAGATGAAAATACAAACGTCTATACTTTCATTTAATACTGACTAGACCATCAATAGTTTATTTTTAGAGGCGCCAGCCGTACATGTCCAGGTGCTGTTTTAGCCTCTTTTTCCTGTTTGTTCAGTTAACACTCTGCTGCAATGCAAGAGATTCCTAGCCAGGAAAATGTAAGAACCGGAACATTTCGTGCGAACTCTCTACGTCTGAAGGAACATCGGTCGTAACGCTGTCAATTACTCTGATCGAGTCCTCGGGCGCTCTAACGAAGGAAGCAGGACACAGTTTGTAGTCACAGGATGTCCATTTTGGGGACGACCTTTTGACCGACTTTCATGTTCTGATGCAACACTTCAAGCTACCGATTGACAGACGGGCACAGGAAGAAGGAAACGGCTTTGACCCAATAGGTACGTTAAGTTTTAGTACTAGTTTTACAGCCTTTGAAACACAATTTAGTCATATAAGTCGTGTACAAGATTAGAGGTGTTACTATAGAGAAAGATGCAAAAAGAAAGGAGAGGTGTAACCGCAGAGTAACATACAAAGAACAAAAAGGACGACAGATAAAGATGATGGGTATTGATAGGACAAAGGAGCAAACCATACCAGAGTATCCGCCAATCACCTACTGGCCCTTAGCAATAGTGAAGGGACAAACTATTTCATTTCACCGTCGGGAAAACTTTTCAAAGCAAGTCACTCTGATGGCTACAACGAAGTGTGCGGATCAGAAATGGCAGCTAACATCTTGTGGTGTAATGCTCAAGGCCACAGATCAGCCTCAGTAAGTGAGCACTTTAGGGATCGTCTGCCAAGGGAACGCTCAAGGCCAACCATAATTATGATCTGGATCGAATCGGAGGTAATGTTGTCACAAATTATTAGTCGACGTTCTCAAATGCAACGTGCTAGTCTAGCCGCCACCTTTTGCCTTCATCAAAG